GGCTCCCATATTTATGAAGCTGATGCTTAGGCAAAGCTGAGTGCTCTGAGAATTACCTGCGCAGCTTTATCTTATTCGCTCTCAACTTGTCAACTTTCAGTTCAGGATCATCTGTCAGCTCTTAGGCTGCGGATCTGTCAGCATTTTGCATCATCTTCGTTTTCGATATGCTAACTTTTGGACCTATTTCCTTAATTTCGTGTATTAAACTCTTAAAAACAGCAAAAAAAACATACTTTCGTAGCTTTTTTTCCTTTTTTTTAACAGCTCGCCAAGTTGGATAAGATTTGGAATGTAATATTTATATTTATCAAATCATTCATTGATCTGTATTTGATGTTTTTATTATTGTAGTTAGTGGTATCGTGAGTTTTTATCGTTGTGTGATCTCATTCAACATATACAAGTAAAATTTTCACTATTTTTTTTTTGATTTTTTTGAAATTTTCGCTCTGAAATTCGAGTTCGTTTGTCGAATTTTCTCATTTCAGCATTGCTTGGTTTATATTAAATTAGCAGAGCATCATTTTCTTGCGGCATGAAATAATATTGAAACGAAAAATGCAGTTTTCCTATTGGGATAATCAGTCTTTTTATGATTTGTTTTCATTCGTTTCAATGGTAAATTGGTACTGGCATATACTAGCGAGTCAAGTCCACTATCAGCTTGTTTTTTAAGCAGTTCTCGAAAGAGGGATTAATCGACAGCCTTGCGAATAACTGTTTGCTTTTGTAAAAATTGTCACTTTTTTGTTACTTTCGGACGCTCCCAATCCTTTCATAGTGAAGGTTGCGCGGGAAATTTCGATTTTTTGAGCAGTTTTCTCAGTAATTCTCTTAATCGCTGTAGTACATGAAGTCTGGAAAGCTCTTGCCACTAGGATTAGCCAATTTTTGACCGAACCACAGAAAAATACTTAGCAGTTGAGTGAAGTTGATTTAGCTAATGCAAGAGAGGTAATAGAGGGAAATATAAAAATTAGAGCTCGACCTGCTTGTTCTAATATATTAAATTCTGTTCGCAAAGATTACCACTAACTAACTAACAAAACTTCGGGAGAAAAACTAATACTTCGATTTTTGCTTGATGAATAGAGGCCAAAAGACCGTACTGGATTCCGAAGAAATTACAGCACAACGGATCAAATTCCACTCTCAGTTTCTAAACCAAATTTTGTTTCGATTTTAACTGATTGAAATGTGTTCCTACCTTCTTTTATGTTGTCTTTTTTTGGAGAATGAGTAAAAATTATTGAAATTTTTGCAGTTTTCTTCGCAACTCGAAATGTTGGAACTCAATGTGAAACAGAGCGGAATAAGTAAAAGAGTGCTGAATGTATTGTACAGGAAAACGAAAAGTGGCAAAGTTGTGAAGGTTAGTTGCAAATCTTTAAAACTTAAAAGTTATATATATATATATATGTATAGGATTCAAGTTTTTACGACCATTATATTCTAAATGGCACTTTCAGTTTTTCCATAATTGTCAAAATTCGATTATGTTCCTCTCAACGGTGGCCAACAACGCCCAACAAACTGTTAACACATATGTTGACACATAGAAAATATTAGGCCCTCGTCCTTTTCCAGTCCTCCAGCCAGAGATATTCATTGTTTGTATTTTTAAAATTTCTAAAATACTTGATGTAATTTCTGAAATACTCCGAAAACCTCAAAATTGAGGATCAAGCTAAACT